TTCTAAGTTACATAAAGTAAATTTCCCAATATTGCAATTATCTGTCTGGATAGATTTGTGGGTTTAACTTTGGACACGTGCAATATGAATTTGAAATGGTGCTGTACAAACAGGATACTCTTTCTTTGTATAAAACATCAGCTGTTGGGTCACATCTCTTCCTCTGGAATCAGCAGCTGGAAAATATTAGATGAGTCACGAGGAGTTGAGAGCTTTGAAAAGCAGCATGCACCAAGTGACATACAGGGTGAAGTCTTTAAATGCACAACTTAAAACACCAAATTGGAATCTTCAGATATTGAATAAACTGCTCTGAAATGTTACAAATTTATAAATGGGATCAACCTAACATGCCCAGGCAGTATAAGAGGGAAAGGGTAGAAAACAAATGCACAAAAAGCACGGGCATCCTTCTGGTTTTTTTTAATTTATTTTTTTTTTAAAGCAGTGCTGATTTTGCAGTTACACTGCTTCCTGAGATAATATACACCAGCCTACACAGCACTTTGAGCTCTGGTTGTACCCTGACAGACAGATGGTAGCTGAGAGCTCTAGATGTACTTACAAAATTGTTCAGATGAATAGGTGTAGGCAGCTGGGATTGTCAGTATGCTAGTAGGTTACCTGGGGATTTTAGGTTATGTTTACACAGCAATTAAACTATAAATGCAGGATATTTTTTTTTCTTTATTCTGCAGCGTAAGTAGGCAGTATTTGAGTGTCCAAATATTGGACTCTCTCTTCAGGAGCCTGCCAACCTAATGTCTTCTCTATTTTACCATGTTCCCAGACTTAGCCTGGGACCAGAGACACAGAGTCTAGCTGTGGTGGTCATTGTCTGAATGTTGCCAGGCATGTCCATGGGTAGAGGCAGGACCAGGGTCTTGAGGCCCAAGTTAGACTAAGCAGGCACAGATGAGGCACCAAGGCATGTCCTTGCTCCCTGCACAGCTGGCCAAGAGTCTCATCCTTTGCTACATCTTTTCCCAGTGGGGCTGCCTCCTTTCCTGCAGCTTCCCGCTCAAAGAATGTGGGGAGAAAAACCATCAATAACTGCCTTTTAAAGTCAAGTTTGCTTCCTGTGAGTTTTCAACACGGTATTTTAGAGTTCTGTGTCTGAAAATGAAAATATCTATAGCAAATTCAAGGGTAACACTCATGTTTTGTCTCTGTAAACCTTCAGTCTTGAGCTCTGGCTCAGACAGGCACAACTACTTCTGAACTTCCTGTGTCCCCTTAATTGCTTGTTGTGTTCTCTCAGTGTTTCTTTTCTTCTGGTCTTTCTCTCAGCTGGAAGAGTAAGATACTCATGTTTTCATGGCTGTAGCATCAAAGCCCATGTGAGTTCCTGTATTTCTGTCCTTTACGTCACCAGAACTCAAATGATTCATAAAAACCAGGTATATAAGGGACCACAAGAAGGAGTCTTGTGCTTTTGCACATAGACCATAGCCCCCTTGGACTCTATCTGCAGCATGAGCAAAAGGTGAGTAGGGGATCAAATTCTTGTGTGGATAGCTTTGGAAATGTACAGGGGTACACTGTGTTTGCCAGGGATTTTTTTTTAGGCAGTGATAAAAAGGCAGAAATTACTGATTCTTATCTGTCATTATTTCATTATAGGATCATCTGGCTGTGAGTGACAGGTATATAAATACTAACAGATATTTGCCAACATGTTCTGAGAGATTTTGGAAGATGAACATCAACAGCCTCTCCCTTGGCACCCTACTCAAGCACATTCCTATCCTTCCACTTTTGAAACTCCTTTCCAAATTTCTAGGTATTACCTCAACCTCTATTATGACACTGAAGACTACTCTAGATCACTCTACCCCCATGAAGAGCAGACTGTTAGCTTCATTTCAGACTAAAGCAACTTCTTTCTTTCAGTTACTCCTCATTTGCTGTGTTCTCTGCTGTCATTTGTGCTGTGCTTGCTGCATTCCCCTGGGCTCTTGCCACTGCGCACCCATCTTCTCTCGACTTGTGTGCCCCAGTAGGATGTCTTATTCCAGCTGCAACTTTGCTAGGGCTGAGTGGTGCTAAATTGTTACCTCACATGGCCTACTGAATATACTCTAGGTTATTCCAATATTATGTTTGCTTTTTTGTTGTTGTTGTTTTCCGCACAGGATTATGATGCTGTTGAGATGGATCTGAGCTCGTTTCCATGCTATTTGAGTTTGCTTTATGAGTTTGAACTTCTTGGCTAGAAAATTGATTATAATTTTTTTTTCTTTTGTAGTACAGTAGTACAGTTTTAATGGTGGAAATGTAATTGGAATCTATTAAACTGGAGTCTGGCATTAAAGTAATAGTGGTTTAGAACTGTTACTCTTCTTCTGCATAGGTTTTATTTGCATGCAGACAGAATTTAGCTAACTTCCACTGAATAAACTTATTAATATGAATCCGTTTTCTTTAAACCACCTTCTCAGGATGCTATTGGTGGCATAAACTCCAAGGTGTACGGGTATGAAATAAGCTTTGGCAAATTTCAGTTTTTAGAATGTTAGCATATTAGAAGTTGTTTTATACAGTAAGGAGTCCTTCATGCTTATTATTAACAAAAGAAACTGTTATTTGTGATATTAAAAAATGACTTTTCGGTTTCTGTAGCTTGATCAAAGTTTGATCCTCATCCACAGATCCTTGTGTCTTTATTAAAATGTGACATGTTGCTGTGACAGTTAAAAACTGGTGCTGAAGGTCAAGCAATTATTATTTCAGCAGCTGCAAGTTCCAAAGGAGTGTACAGCTCTCTCAAATATTCCAGCTTTAAAAGCTTTTTTTTTTTTCTGTAGCAATATTTAAATACTACTAACAATAGGATTGGGATATAAAGTCCTTTTAATTACTTTTCATTTTTCTTTTAGAAGTGGTTCATACACTTCCCAAAGCCAGTGCACAACAGGTTAAAAAAATAGCATCAGTGTATCATTGCTCTAATTCTGTTAACTGTTTCTCAGCATTTACATGTGTATAGATGGGTCTATATGTGTAATGTCTATATGTATATAAATAACATAAGACTGCTTTCTAACCACAGAGTTAGCTCCAGCCCAAATACACTGCTGTCTGTTGTGTTTCCTATGGTTAGCTCGATGGCCATTTGGATCAGGTGTTCTGTGTGAGGGGTCAGTTTTCTGTGAAACAACCAAAGCCATCAAACTCAATCCCTGCGTAAATTCACTTGGTGGAATAGATAGTCAGGGCATATGGAACTGCACTCATTTGGTTTCATGAGTGGAAAACTTCTGGGGCAGACCTACATCTGGTATTAATTGGTAGATGACTGGCTGTGGGTTTTTTTGGGTTTTTTTTTTTTGTTTTTTTTTTTTTTTTAAAAAGTGCTGTTCTATTTGTTTTCTAAAATGAAACCAATATATGTTCTGAAACTTAGAAATATGGGTATTGCTTTTTCCCAGAATAGAAGTATTTTTAACGAGAGTATTGTGTCAACATTCTTTTAAAATATATTACACAGAATAGGAACATGGCCTTTTAATTCAGTTTGTCAGAGGGGGAAAATTAAATATATTGTATTTACCATGCACAGCCCCACAGTCTCCTCCTGGGATTACTAAAAATGACATCAGGTGTCACGTCTGACCCAGCCACTCAGCAGTCTTGAAAGCTAAATACATGACTACCATTGTCCAGCAGCTATCATTTCCCAGATCCAGTTCTGGAATTTAAGTTATCTTGATAACTATTGTTTAGTAGACAACAAAAGGAATCACCTGTACTTCACCAGATATTCTCAAAAAAACCCTCAGAAATCACGTACAGAACAGGTGCAAACAAGCAGAAAAGGAGCCTCCTCTCATTGTAATAAGGAAACAGACATCAGAGCTACCCTTAGAGCTTGCATATTTATTGAACAAATCCTACTAAAATAGCTAAAATACATTGGGTACTTGTAGTGCATTATTAAAGATCACATTGTTACAAAAGCCTGCGTTTTCAGCAGTACACAACTGCAACTATACATAAATGCCACAACTGCTGAATATTACTTGTTGCTCTATATACAGCACAGTAGACGTATCTAATCTATTGGAAAATAAAATGTACAAGAAAAGGGATACAGAAGGTGGGGAAAGGAAAGAAATCTAGAAGTGCAGTGCATGCATTGGTATTTAACAGTCAGAAGCTAAAACAGTTCAGAACAAGGCCTGCCCTGTAAAAGGAAGAGCTAAAAGACAGTTATATAAAAAATTAAGGTGGGCTTTCAGACTGTGTCTAACACAACAACACTCCATGAGTAGATGATACTGTTTAGTTTTGTGTTTTGTGTTGTTTTGTATTGATAGTAGTCTGGGAGCAAGAACAAAAATGTAAAGTCCACATGTTGACAGTACC